CTGCTCTGAATTAAACGCAGACTCAAGAGAAAACTATTACTTGTAGTCCTTCTTTATTTTTTTAAGTATATATGGAAAAAATAAAAATCATTGTCCACAGGCATGCACATACCTCCCCGTTAAGAAGCTTGGACAATTTGAACTATGGAGGAAACCTAAGAAGTTAAGCTTGAGAAAAAGAAACCTGGCAGGGAAAAATTAGATTATCTCTAAAAATGAACAGATATGATGATATAATAGAACAGGAATTTCAAAGATGGGACTTAGAAGAGTCAAAGCTAAATTCTGTGAGGAGCCTTTGTGAGTGAATTCTAGGACTAAACAGCAAGTTCTCCCTAAGGATAGCTAGGGGAACTTTTAACAGGACAGGATTTATAGGTGGAGATGCTTTCTTCACATTTCAAACACTGATACAGTAGCTTTGGAAGGTATGGCTGGGAAGGACATGATGGCAAGGAAACCAGTAGCCTCATTGTAAGGTGATTGCACATGCTAAACATGTTAATGAACACATTCTGAAATGTGATTAACAGTAGTGTTACTGTCATATCCTGACCAATATTTGGAATTTCAAGTACAGTAAAACTGCATTATTAAAACAGAAGAATCAGAAACTGCAGCTTAGTTTGTGGGTACTAGAATATGATAAAAAACGCTAAGAAAATATTTTGCTTATTTCAGTTCTTTACCAGCAGATTTTAAAAACTAAAGAAAGATGTCTTTCTTCCCCAAAATCTCTTTCCAATGTGAAGTTGAAGAGTATCTCACCAAAGTGTTCAGAAATAATGAGGTATGTGAAATAGATACTACTAATCATTGACAAATATTCACTAATTGAACACTGTTAATATGCCTTTGATTTAATATTTTGTGTGACTTTAATACCTTACAGTAAGATATTGTCTTCACATTAGACACAGATTTTTATATATAATTCTATTTAAAATATAAAATTATTCTTTATGCATGTTGTCTCAAATTAACATAAAAATATTTAAACTAAAGAATGATCACAGAGAAAGTTAACCACTTATTAACCACATAACATTGACAAGAAATACTCCCTTACCCCAGTGTAGAACCAAAAAAACTATAGACAGTCTATGAATTCCTAATGTCAAAGGACACAAAAATGACGTTTTTGCTTATCAGGATGAGAGTAACTAGTTCATAGTTTGGAATCTACTCTTCCATGTCCTTAGGACTGTTCTTTGTACAGTATCACAGAGCTGGCTAGCAGTTACTTCTGGTACTTGCTGCAGCCTGTTTAAAATGATCTTGCTAATGCGACTGTTTTTCCAACAAGTCCTTTCCAAGAAATTTATGAGGTTTTCACTGGAATTAAGCCTCCAGACATAGACATTCCTCCTGTTGCACACCACACAACCATATTGCTCCATTTCTACAGAATGTTCATTCAGTGCTTTTTCGCACTGAGCAAGAGGCTGCTGTGTGAATCTCTAATATAAAATCTCTTCCTTCACTTTCAGCTTATCACTGCTTTAGGCACACAGGAGGCAGAGAGTAAATATCAATCTCTGTTAAGTCGTCTATCCCATCCACCAGGTTTCACAACTGTTAGAGTGAATACCCACTTGATCTCAGTGAAACACGTGAAAAAATTGCTGTTTGAAGAGATCCAGAAGGTTTGTGCAATTTCTTCGTAACAGAAAAAATAACAGTATATTTCATCTTGTGTCTGATTATGAGAGCTTTTCATTAGTGGAAACTATTCCTTAACTTAATACATGTCCACTAGTATTAACATTATGCAATCATATTGATCTCCTGTCAGCATTAAACGTTAAATGAAAATTCATTGTCTAGTGGTATTCTTCATCTAATACATCCAAGAAAGGCAAGAACAGAGGGAAAAGACAACCAACTCTTTTTCATATGGCAGATCCAGACCCTAGATAGGATTGGGGTACTACTGTAGTAAATAGGGTAAAGGCATCATAAGTCTAGGGAAGATGGTAGAAAGAGATAAAAAACTGTAGCTCAGTGTGCTGTGTTCAGCTTGTTTAGAACATTTTTATTTAAGATTGAAGGAGAGTGGCTGTATGTCTCATTGCACAAACTATTTAGGAAAGTGAGAAAATCTGGATGTTTTAGAAACTGGAGCCAGAGTGATGCCCTGAAGCTGCTGTATTTTCTTTATTTAACCTGGTTTTAATCTCTATATAACTTTCTGGTTTTTTACTTACCTTAGTTAAACATTTATTTATTTGATGATATGTAAGCCATTATGTTTAAGAAGTAGATTATTTTGAAACTTTATCCTAGATCTTCACTCTGTCTAAAAAGATCCAGTTCTTCTTTAAGTAAATTATTAATGCTGGTGGGTGTGCAGGGAGCTATTGCATGACAGGAGCCAAGACATTTCTGTGATGCAGAGGCAGTTGACAGTATTCTGCTGGCTAGAATGGTAATGAGTTATGCTAATTTTAGCTTGATTGTAGAAATCTGGAAATGGGTAATGCAGTATGATATTTTGCTTCAAGGGAAAATGCTTTGCTGAAAACGGAATTAAGACTGGCTTTTCATAAACTTTTTGTATTTTGAATTGTGGTTATATTAGAAAAGGAAGCTACATAACAGTTTTTAACAGAAGTGTGCTTATGGATTGCTTTCTTTCTTAAGAGAAAATACTTATTTGTCAGATGCAAACTACTTTATGGGTTTGCTTTTTTAAGGTTATATTTTAGAAGGCTTAGGCGAGAAGACATCATCTTTTTAAAGTCCAGGAACAGTTTTTTAAAATGGCAAGCTGTCATTTTTTTTCAACTATATGCACAACTCAGTACCCAATCAAAGTTAAGCTGAAAAGAAAAATAAAAAGCATTACCACCTGGGCATATTAAGTAAGACAGGCAGTACATGAGTAGAGTTAAACAGTGGTTTATAATTAATAACATCAAAAATACAACACCGATTAGACCCAGGCTTCTCAGGTGGTGTTACTGTGATCTGATGACAACTCAACACAACCTTCTTCCAGAAGAAAGCAAAAACCAGTGGTAGGGTTATGAGTGTCAGAAGACTGTCCCGCTCCCTGAAGTCAGTTCACAGTGAATCCCTTTGTGGCCTCGTTATTTCTCAATTTTTTTTAATGTTTAGTCTTTGACACCAGTATTTGGAATGTGGAGTGTCTTCTTACACACTATTTCCCAACTTCTCTTAACTGTTTCCACTACTTTGTTTTTTGTACTCTACAGCTATAAATTATGAATGAAGAAATGTTTTTCAGTCTAATTAAGTCTAATTTCAGTCTAATTAAGGTTGGGGATTTTAATATTGCTTAATAATTTTGTTTTTTAATGAAACAGCAATTTAAAGGACTATGCGTTCCAGTTCTTGAGCACCCGAAACTCCAGGACATCTTATTAATTCCTGTCATTGGACCCAGGTTTGAAATTTTCAGTCTTTAGCCTTAAAATGCCATAACACACATTTTACTTACAGATTTCTTCTTAAACAGTTATGATAACTAACTCACTATAAATGAAGCACAGCTTCATTTATATTAAGACCTAGTGGACAGTCCATATCCTAACCAAGTCAGAGTTTTAGTCCTTAAAAGATGTAAGAAAGCACAGAGAGAGTTCTCTCTGTATTTATGAGATTAACTTTTTATGGGGAAAATGTAACTTAAGTACATCCTCTCTAAAAAGCCAGGTAGGTGGCAGACAGAAGAACTAAACTTTTGCGGTGGAATATAGATCTATAGCTAAATACAGGCAGGGTTTTCTCCACTGGAATCAAGTCCAGAGCAAGACTTAGGGATACTGGATCAATAATGCTGAGAGGATTTCTGAATCAATTTCATCCCCTGCAAAATGGCTTTTTTCGTTCCTAAGATATGTTTCGATATTTCCCATGTTGCATCTGTGTCTGCCCCTATGGAGCTTCTTCACTGTTTTATTGAATTCACTGATGGATATTTTATTTTAAGTATGTTCTTCATAATGAAGACTAACACACTTCAGATTAAGTTTGTATCATGATTAGGTAGAGATTGGTAACATCCCAGTATAATTTATTTGTATTCCTATGTCAGGTTCATAATAGTGGCAGAATGTGTCAGAATCTGCTTTATTTTGAGGACTGGTTTCCTTCTTGGCTCCTTCCTTTGAATCCTCTGGGACTAGAATAAATCTTCTAAGTGTAACATGTGATAGTTAACTTTTTTTTTTAATTATATTGTGACAAAACCAGTATTTATGAACTAGGGTTTGCTTGGGGGCTATTTGGATTTTTTTCAGTGTACTTTATTTTTTTTTCCAAACTGAACTACATTTTGTATTTTTAGGCGAGATTTAAAAAAACATGCATCTGAAGTCATTGTTGGACCCCACTGTGGATATGCAGTACTTCGAGGAGCACATGTTTATGTTCCTGGAATCATATCTACCTCAAGATGTAAGAGTTCTCTAAATATACCCAGTTAAGTTGTAAAGAGGATGGGAAAAATGTTACAGCTTGATTACAATTTCCAATAAGTAGTGACATTAATTTTTTTTTTCTGTTCACAGCTGAAATTCTTATAGTTGTAATTTATAGTAAATACATTTTTTAAAGTTTTTATGGGTTTTTTGGAGATTTTTACTATTTTTGCATTACACTTGTGATAAATTGTGTGTAATTATTTCTCACCTGGCCTGTTTTAAGTTCCTTTTCTCATATGTAATTCCTAGCTGAAGTATTAGTTCTCAAGGATTTCAGTTTCTTGTTTTCGTTTGAAAATCTTTTTAATGAGCATGTTCAAGGTAAAACCTGGCTTTTTAAGAGGTTTTTACTACTGAATAATGTAACTTTAAATACGGATGTGCAGTAGAATAAACTCACAGAAGTTCACTGCTTTTCAGTTTTGTCAAAAAAAAATAATAGAAGGAATGCAACAACAGATACATCTGCATGGTAACTGGATGTGCATTGATTATTCAATAGATACTATTTCCAGATATGTTATTTCTTCATTCAGTCACAAAGGCATTTGCTTTCACGATTGTGTCAGATTCTGTTACAGGTCTAAAAAAATGGATTTTCTTTTTATAATCCATTGGCGATTTGTTTTATATTGTTCGTGTATGAGACATCTAGTAAAAAGATTTTTTTTTTTCTATTGATGAGAAAAATCTTCAATTTTGATGTCAGATTCTTAAGAAATGGAAATTTTTGTTTCAATGCCTGTGAGACAAGATAAAAAATCTATGTATACATGCTTAGTATTCAGCAGCCATTAATTTTTTATTTAAAGGTCAAATTAACTTTATGTGAAACCAGTATAATTTTGGATGATTCACCTCATTATTCTATTGTGATGAGACCTACTAATCATCATGGTTCTTATTATTAAACAAAGTGAGTCAGGAAAGCATTTATCTAGCCACTTAACTTCATTCCCTTTCAGGAAAAAACCTTCAAGAAGTTTTAAGCATGTACTTAAGTCCAATTCATGGAACAGGAATGTTTTTCAATCTAGGACTTGATAATGAAATAAGTATATTGCCATAGCAGTTGTTGAAACTGCTTTTTTAGACAACCTCATAAATATTCAAATCCCTCTTTGAGTCAACTAGTGATTTATCATAATTGCTGCATGTAATTATGCATGCAACATCAATTCAAAGAAAATAAAAGATACTATAAAACTTTAGGAACACTTCAGGGGAATTGAAGATAGGAAAATAAAATAAGAGGGCATGCTACCCACTTGAGGCCAAATATAATAAGGCTGTATTAAGCACAGATGGTCTAACTAGGGAAAAAAAGAGTACAGCAGGAACACACATTTAATCACTGAACTTGCAACCCAAATGAGGATAAACTAATTATCAGGGGGCTTTGACTTTAACTTAACTGTTCAAACTCTAAGCTTTATGTTTATGAAATGCCAATATAAGCTACAAAAAGCTTAAGAACTGTATACAGTACTAACGCATTTTGAAAGGACGTTTGTCAGCAGAGAGTGAAATAAAATCCTTTATGTTTGACTACTGCAAAAAATCATTGGCAAATATGCTTGATGGAAGAATGAAATTGCTGCAAGTTTTTGTTCAGTAAAGTTTAAACAGGCTATAAGAGTAGGCTACCACATTACATTTTGTGTCGCATTGTGTAAAAAGAAGCTATGCAAAAAAAAAAAAATTGCTTAGTGACTACCCAACAAATATTACCATTTAAGAATTCCAGGACATTTGTGCATATTCAGAAGGCCACTTGAAAATAGAAAAAAAGATTCCTAAATACAATTCAAAGAATTCTTGGGAAGCTGATCTGTCATTAGTCTTACTTGTCATATCTTCTGGTTGCTCCAGCCAGTCAGACATATCAGAAATGTAATTTTGGAAAATTATTTATTACTGTCAGTGGCGGCCTTTATTTTTAAGCATATTTTTCAGCCAGTCAGTATACAGAGTTTGCTCACTATTCTAAAAAATCACCTGAACCATCCCCCCTTTCCATGTATTTTTGTTCTACCTCAGAAAGTTTTTTAAGTCCCTAGGATAACACTTCTAGAGTTTGGTGTGTATTTACATACTTCACTGATCTGGAGGGTTTTAACTGGAGATGTAAAACTCTCTTAGAGGATTATTGAGAACAGCGGTTGCCTTAGAGGGAAGAGAGCCACCCCAGAAAAATTGTTTCGGCAAGAATATATAACCACTTGTATCAAAGCAATAGTTAGAGAAAAAGCAGCTATAGCTATGTTCTACCTAGCTATTGAGAGGTCACTAGACAAATCTAATATTATTGTCATTGTACAGTAAGTGTGAACCAGTGTTGTTTGATGTACTTGTGTGCTTGGAGCACATACAGAGGACTGAATCCCGAAGAGTGTGCTTAAAAATTCGGGGCACCATGCGGTGATAAAATAAATAAAGTGAAGATCTGTCTAGCCTCTTAAAAAACAAGGCACACAGTCTGATTTGTAATCTTGTGCCTCTCGATAGCTCTAGTCATTTGGTAGCCATCGTTCACCATGTACACTTTCAAGCCTAGTATCAGTTAATCTTTTTCTTTGATTACATTAACAAAGTTTAGGTTTTGCTATGATATGGGAGTTGAAGTAAGTAGTCTACCGAAAATCCTAAATTACTTGTTCACTACTGTCTTGTCAAGTATAATATTAATCTCAAAAATTCAATTCTTCTTTGAGCAGTTATGAAAGCTGGAGATCTGGTCTCAGTGTATTCAGATATTGAAGGGAAATGTAAAAGAGGAGCCAAAGAATTTGAAGGAGTCAAAGTTTTCCTTGGAAATGGGATTTCAGAACTGAGTCGCAGTGAAATCTTTAGTTCAAGTGGCCCATTGAAGTAAGTCCGTAGTAACTGCAATCTACACCTACAACTTTGCAAAGGGAAGGAAGAAGATGGGAAGACATTTTGAAATATTTTGTAACCTATGTGAAACAACAAGATGGTCTTGACTGAGACCTGTGTTGCATGTTGCGATTTCCAGTATTTTTTGGGAAGCGTTGGTTTCTGGGAATATAATAGAATTGTGCCTCCTGCTGTCTTCTGTAACTTCACAACTAAGGTAGTGAGTGGCAATGTGATGGCAATTATGATTAAACTACTACAGTAAGTATTAGCAAACTCAACATTTAGTTTCATAGTGGTATCCAGATACCAGTTTACTTGAGAGGTAGGAGGAAATAAATGGGAGCCTTTTAAGAATTTTTGTTTAGCATATGATTTCAATAATATAGAACAAACATTCTCACTGTGGCAAAATTGCATTTTGGTAAATTGTTCTGTACCACTTTCCTATTTGGATGGAACAGAAGTGCAGCCTTTTTGATTTCTCCATCTCCTAAAAATATTTGTAGGGGCTTTTTTTTGGTGGGGCACGGTACAGAGCATAAGGTCAGATATCTTAAAAAAATTAATAGCATTTGCCAAGGTAGTTATCTATTTCAAGATTACTTGCTTTTCTATTTTGTTGCCAAAGCATATGGTTTGTTCTTCTTCTGTCATCTAAAACTCATATAAGAAGCAGTGTAGAAGAGCATGGACATCAAATTAATGACCAAGACTTTACATCCCAAGAACAAACTACAAAAGATCTAGTAAAAAAGTTTACATTGTTAGAGGATTTCTGATTTATTACAGTTTAAATATTACTATATTTGTGGCATAGTAGTGGCAGGGTTTAGCTGTTGAGTGGATGACATGGAATGGCAGTATGTAACACTAAATCTGGTGTCTGCAGGTTTGCTTTCTCATATCCTTCTCGTTCTTGTTATTTGTAGTAATCTATTGTTTTCAGGATCAGTATTTTTTCCTTGTTTTTCTTTTTATTGTTGTTCATTTCCTTGTACCTTTGTCTGAACTTAATGAAATCTGTGTCAGAACTTAATCCGTATTTAAAACTTTTAGGTTGCTTCTAAGTTCAAACCTTTGCTTTGCAGGCAAATCAATGTTCCTGTAAGGCTTTTGAAATATAATTTCTTCAGTTATTCGACTGAAATCTCAGACAATCTAGAAAAACAGAGTAAGATCTAAGCAGGAAATCATATGCCAGTGCCCTAGTGCATACATGGCTAGCCAAAAGCAGTTATGGATTGAAATTAATGTATTTAAATCTGGTTTTCTGCATTTCTTTACATTATCAAGGCTTGGATCGGATCTCAGTTTGTCTTGTGATAAATTTGCTTTGCAATGTTTATGGATAGTTCCATTTTGTAACGTAGTACTTTTTTTGTTGAGGTTTACATAACCTAATGATGTAATTTTAAAGAATATCAGATTATAAAATTGTAAAAGTATTTTTCTTAGTTGATTTGTAAGTGCTTTCTTTTTTATAAGATTATTGTTCCCAGTTTCTACTTCTAAGCATAATGATTTTAACTGAATTCCGTTAAAACTATAAATCTGAAGTTCAAATATATTTTTTCACGTTTTTCAGTGGAATGGGCATAAGAATGATAGAGCCAGTCTACCTTAGTCCTTCGTTTGACAATGTGCTCCCTAGTCATTTGTTTTTACAGGTACGTTTGCTACAAAAAAAAAAAAAAAAAAAGTCTGTACTATTTACAAAGTAATGAATAACCTCTAAGCACACATTAAAACTTTATATACTCATTGTGTATTATGGCACCCAATTCACTCTTTAGATTTAAAGAAAACAAAGTGTTTAGAATGAAGTCAGTATCTATATGTAGGTGGTTTAATCATACTGTGAGATATGATAAAGGACTTCAAAGTGACTTAAGAGATATTCACTTCAAAACTTAGAAATCCTTTTTGCACAGATACTCCGCATAGAACTATTAGTTTTTGGAATCTGTCTATGAACTCTAATATATGAGCCTCTTTCAGAGTACATCCTTCTGTAGATTATCAGGAAAATCTCCAAATATTGGGTTGACTTTAAGTTGAAGAGAAAATCCTTACCTTTTTAGCCCTAATGAAAAAAATCTGCCTGAACAAAATAACCGTGAAGAACCTTACAGTAGCACAGCTTTCACTACCTTTGCCATAAAACTGCACACCTTCCAGAGAGTGACAAAATTTGTGTAGTTTTTATTGTAAAATTTAAGAACTTATTTCAAGCTAGCTTTTCCTTTTGCATCTTTAATATTTGTGATACCTATACTCCTTTTCCCCACAATAAAACTAACGAAAAGCAATACTCAGACATGACAATTGGCCACCTGTGCTACTCTGAAATATAGGATGATGAAATCATAGAACTTTCTAGATTTCTTGATTCAGGTAAAATTCTTGATTTCAGTTTGCTGACATAAAAAGATAAGGTGAACATCTCATCTGGATTTCTCAGACAATCAGTGTGACAACAATGGTATTGTATTTTTTTATATAAATATGACAATTTAAAACCAGATTTTAAAATAAAATCAAGCTGTCCAACCTTGGGAAAAAAAAAAGGTTTTTTTTAATCTTTAAAGCAAATGTAAATTTTATCTCAAATTAACCCTTGTTCAGAGATATTCTCTGAAATTCTAAGTTATCTCCTCATTTGATTTGTATAACTATCACTCAGACAGTAAGTCCTTTACTATAGTGAATTGTCTTACTCACTATTTATGTTGTCAGAAGAGTCAGTCCAGCAGAGGAGTTATTTTTATGCATATATTCTGTTTATAATTCATCTTAATATTTTTAAATCAGCATCGGTGCTGTCTTCTGGTGTGGGCAAAGGGTAGTTTACCAAGCCATATATTGTCTCATGGCCTGCAGTAAAGGAGAAGCCTTGATTCAGCTTATCAGAATACTTGCTTTCAGGGAACAGAATTGTTAGAGAGACAGGTTATTTAAGAGACTGGTGCACATGAGAATTTAGATCATATTCAGTTTCTTGTCCACCAGGATCCCCAAGGCCTTCTCTGCAAAGCTGCCTTCCAGACAGAGAGCCCCAGCCTGTGCTGGTGCACAGGGTGCACCAGGTGCAGGAGTTAGCGCTTCTGTTTGTTGAGCTTCATGAGATTACTGTTTCTCCATTTTTCCAGCCTGTCAAGGTCCCTCTGAATGACAGCATAACCCTCCAGTTTATGAACCCCTCTTTCCAGTTTTGTATCCTCTGTAAACCTGTTGAGGGTGCACTTTGTCCTATTACCCAGATCCCTAAGGAAGAGGTTGGACAACACTGGTGCCAGTGTCTACCCCTGGGGTACACCACTGTTGACTGGCCTCCAGCTAGACTTTGTGCCACTGATCACAGTCCTTTGAGCCTGGCTTTTTTGACTTGAGTTTGCCAGGTGTGAGATGAATTATTGTTCATTTTTTTGAACACTGTGGCATGGAACTTGAAACTGTGCTAACCAAAGACAACATGTAGTAAAGGCAACTTTAAAAGGCTTTATACATTTATATTGAACAAAGTTAGAAGAGAACCTTTCAGAATATTTCTGTACTGTGTAAGATGCAATACTGTGTGCAGTTACTGTATATTATTTCTCTTCAGTGCATATGTTCTGTTTATACAATTAATAACACAGTTCAGCTTCTTGGTATCTTAATTCAGCAAATTTAAACTCCTGCCTATTGATCTTACTGTTCGTTACTATACTACACCAGTATGTTCATCTAGTAAATGTTCTGATAAACAGGTCAATATATAATACTTGTAATATACAGAGCTGCTATCTGTGATAGTATCAGCTTATTCTGTTTTGACTCTTAGCACTGTAGTCTCCATAGTCATGAATCTTTAAACTTCAGTTGCAGATACTTTTATATAGCTTTACATAAAAAAGGAGCCACTGGACACTTCTGACCTATACTATCTTTTTTTTTTATATAATCCCAATAGTTCATTTTCTGTTAAGGAACTGACAGCATTATCTTAGGTATCTTCACTGCTGAATTAATTTTTGTTTCAACAAGTCTGTGATTCCTTAATATAGGAATTGATATGGGACATGAGGTGTGAATTCTTCCATATTTGTTTTTATGATAGAACTTGCCTTCTGTGGTTGTGAGCCATGTTTTAAACCCTCAACCAGGAGAGAGAATTCTGGATATGTGTGCTGCACCTGGAGGAAAAACAACCCACCTTGCAACACTAATGCATGACCAGGTACGATAAGTCGTTGAGTGTTTTCTGTCTAAGTGAAGAAAGTCTGACCACTGTTCATTTGCACAACTCACTTCACTTACCTGTCAGAATGCACAGATAATTTACAATAGCAAGCAATTAATATTTGAACGTTCTGCTTACCAATATATTTTGCTGCACATCAGAGTTAACTGAAATGGGCACAGACTATCAAATAGTCAGTAGCGTATTTAAAACCTTATCTGCTGCAAATTGAAATATGTTTGATTTAACTTTTTAAATGTTACTGGTTTATCTATAATGGAAGAATTCATAACATGCAAGGCAAAGTTACTCAGGAATATGCTGGATTCATTAAACTGAGAATACATGGAAATCAGGGCTTACTGCCGTGTGCCAAAAGAATGTACAACTCTGTACAAAAACATATTAAAAAGTTCCTAATCCAATTAACTGTCTTCTCAGTAAAAATTACCCATTATGCAGTACAGATATGATATTATACTGAATTACTAATCTGAATTTGTAATTCTAAGGTAGAAGGTCACAAAGCCAAAAATATCTTATGAGAAACTAACAACGTGAGAAGAAACAAAAAAAATAATTACAGAAAGACAAAGGAAAATAACACACAAGCCAAAAGGAATGTGCATATATGAATAACAAATTTGCATAAATTAAATTGCTATATGCAAAATGAAAGACAGAAATGCAGGTTACTCTTTTCTAGCAGAGAGGGGAAAAATGTATAATGTTTCGTCTAAAAATTTTGTAAGGTGTTACTATTTTCATTGGAATAGGGTTATTAGAATATATCAGATTATTTAGAAATCTTGCAGTTACATTATGCAGTACTTCAACGGTTGTCTGTGCATTAATGGGAGGGAACAGTGGGTAATGATGTGAATGTGTTTAGAAAAGGCATGTATTCAGTTCTGTGACCATTTATTTATTGAAGTGTTTCTTCCCTCAGTATGGAAAATTTGCAAACAGGCATTAGACATTTATTTGATAGATTTATAAAGCTTCCAGTAAAGAATTTCAGTGTGATAAAGGCAGGCAGTCTGTAAAAGCATGTATTTCTGTCATGGATTAATTTACATCTATACTTTCTCCATCTGTGTATATACATTTTGTATGACGTTGCATAAGTGTTTTTTTCCATAGTCATTTTAGATATTTTGATTGTGTTTACCTCCAGCTGAAGTGGTAAAGGTTTAGAATACAGAAATTGAAATTTATCTGAATTGCTTTTCCTTTTCTGTGTATATAATTTTAATTTAAGATATGGAAAAAATATATTAGTAAATTTGCACTGGTTTTTGGTTCTTAAGTTCCATTCACAGATTTTCCATACTAAATTTCCATAGACAGTATATTAATTCATTAAGATTTCAGAATATTTGAATCAATCTTGTATTTTTTGTGATTTAATTGTAAAAATTAGTATATTTGAGGTAAATAAAATGTAAAATTAAGAGCTTTTAAAAAGGAATTGGGAATAGTTAAGGCTTGAGAATTTATTATTATCTGGATCCCAGTCCAGACCACTGTTTTTCCCAGATGTCTTTCAGGAAGTTGTTCTGGCAGTGGCTGGCATGGGCCAGATGGGGAAGATCTGTTGCCTTCCAGCTTGTTCTTTTTTCTGAAAGCCTCTCAGGAGAAGGATTTATCTCTTTATATCCCCAGTTCGGCACACGTGCAGCAGATCCGCTGTCTTAGCAACAGAGCTAACTTTCAAGCGCAGTCAGTTGTTAGCGTGCATGTGCTATAGGTTGACTGGTGCTAGGGGAGAAGCAGTGGTGTAAGGTCATTGAGTGCTCCTGTAAGAGGTGTTTTGACTCACAGTAGCTGAAGGCTGGACACCATTGACACAACATAAATCCTTTCTTTTTCTCAGTCCTAGACCTACAAATTGGCTAACACGACATACAGTCAACAGCTTAACAGCTTATCTTTACTGAAGGTTTTTTTGTTTGTTTGTTTGTTTGTTTTTTTACACTATCTTAGTCATGTTACCCTTCCATAAGCCTCTAGAGAGTCATCACCAAGTAGGAAAAAGTTGCATATTTTCTCAGCAGGTTCTATTTGCTATAGCAAGTCTAGCAGAGGTTTTTGGTGTTTGGGGGTTTTTTTTGAAGGTAGTATTACTGTTCTGGGTTTTATTGATGCTACTGTTTACTTTCCTTTGTGTTTACAGATTTCATCTAGCAGATAGTGGTGTGTGTCTGTTTTGATTTATCTTGGGAGAGGAAAAGAGAAATCTTATTCTTACATAAAAGAAGTAGTATGTGATTGTGATTCCCCTCCCCCAACTACTAAATGTATTCTAGTATTTACAGTATTTCCCAAAGTAACTTGAGTGACAACTACTGCGGGTATAACAGTATGAATCTGAGCAGGCCAGATACATGTCTGTGGACTGAGCTGTATGTGATCACATTTTCTACCATCTCCATGCAAATTCACAACCGGTTGATCTACTTTACAAAGTCAACCATTGGAATAATCTCCCCAGGGGAGTGGTTGACTCCGCCACACTGGACACTTTGAAGACTCAGCTGGCCAGGGTGCTGGGTCATCTTGTTTAGAATGTGTTCTTGCTTAGAAAGGTAGGACCAGATGATTCTTGAGGTCCCTTCCAACCTTGTATTCTATGATTCTATGTCTTTGAGACATCTACCCTCTTTCAAATGATTACATTTTTACCTTAGTGCCCAGTAAAAAAGTTCAAAATAAACAAAAACAAACAAACGAGAAAAACACTTGCCAAAAGTGAGACATAGAGGCCATTAGGGAGTGACTGCCAAACAGCTAGTGCAACTCAGAATGCACACAGCCACCGACTAGTATCTAGCCTACTGCAGGTATCATGAAAAATACAGGAATTACGGTGCTCATGGTGAGGGGGGAGGAAATCAGGAACCGCACATCCATTTAATCCCTATGCTTTTGATAGAAACTTTGCATTTTTTTCAGGGTGAAGTAATAGCCATGGACAAGATAGCTAACAAGGTCAAAAAAATTAAGCAGAATGCCGAATTGCTACAGCTGAATTGCATCAAGGCCTTTTGCTATGATGGAACAAAGGCACTTTCAGTTGAGAAGAGAGAGAATGAACAAGGTAAAGTAAACAGCTTGGGTGGTAGTAGTAGCTTTTAGAAGAAAATAGTAATCAGTTTTGCACTAGTAGTATTAAACCTGCCACAGGTCTGCAAGTCCTTGAAATCTTAGCAGATACTTAAGTTGCTTCAGCACTGTGAATGCCCTTTTATTTTCTACTATTTTGTGATTGTCAGCTTCTCCATAAAGCAAATACAAAACTCAAACTATCTGTCCTTATCACAACCTAATATGCTCAAAGGAAATGCATTCCTTTCCCAGATAATATCAAAGACTGAAGAAGCCGCCTTTCATGATAACATTTAACCCCATACTCTGAATTGTTTGACTTAGTCTGAGAAAAAAAATATTTTTGCAGAATTGCTTGGCTTTTCTGCCTCAGAATCCTCATCTGTGAAAAGGGGTTATTAATACCTAACTCCCAGGAGTGCTGCAAGGTTTAGTTCATTGATGTTTGTTCAGCTGTTCAGGGGAAAGTTCTATAGAAGCACAGTGTATTATTTTAAGTTAATTTCATTTGCTTTTCTGAAGTGCTGTATTTATGATACTGGTTCTATTCCCATGACGGAACGATTTAAACAGTATCTGCTGCCTTGATTATGTTTAGTTTGTTGGGCAAAGTATGCTGTTCTTTCTCGCTCTGTTTTATCCCAGTCACTGTTTAGCCTAAGTAGGAATCGGGTGGCATAGTTCACCTTCCTTGTCCCTATGCCTTGCAATTATTCCTGCTTTGGAGGAGTAAAGGTACTTTTTTAGTAGTCTTTCTATGAACATAAAATATTGTGGGTGGTACAATATTTTGTGAACAAGAGCTAGCTGCAATACAGAGAGATCATGAAGGCTTTTCTGTACATCCCTGCGAGTAAGAAATGACATATTTTAAACATTGTGGTAATGGATCAGAGGTAGATAAATCAGATGATAGACTCATTTTGTAGGGCTGGAACAAGGTAGGTAGCAGTAGTATGAAGTCACTCACTTGTTTTCACTTATAACCTAACTTGAGTGTTTGAGGAGCAGAAGGAGAAAAGGAGGTAAAGCATGCATAAGGCTCTCTTCCTCATTGGTTACTCACAGATACATGTATGGAGCCACTTTTGTCTTGGTGATGCTGAGCTGAAGAGGCTCTCTAGCATTAAGGCGATAGAAACTTTGGGCTGTTGAGCCAGTGGGATTCAGCTGAAAGGATAGGCTCTTTGGAGCTATAGAAGTTACATATTCCCTTACCTATCCAGGCAGTATTCAGAAATTGTTCTTGTCTTCACAATCCTTGTTTACTAGATTGTTCTGCTGTGGAGACAGCATGTTATAATTTGTCACACGTTATAACTTGTAATATTTCATGTTGTTATGAAGTGCTTTATTTTCTACAGATATATATGCATCGCCAGATATAGTTATTATAGAGACAGTCCAATTATTATTATTCAAGGCAGTCTTAATGGTTAACTACAAGGCTTCTCTCAGTAAAGATTTGCACACTTGGTTCAGTTATGAGCTGACTGTGGTTCATTACAGTCTCTATGTACAGGTCTGTACTCAGTGCCTCTGACCAATCATATTTCAGCATTTTTGTTTGTTTACTTTTACATTTTACTTTCAAAGTATTAAATTAAGGTTAAAAAATATTATGTATTTGTTTGAGCTCACGGAACTAAAACTCTTTAGTTTTCTGGGACATGAAATCTACCACCAGCAGTGCTGAGACTTGTCTCTAGCTGAGATTACTTTTGCAGACACTATCTATAGAACATAAATGTTTTCTGTCAAGGAAGCAGTACAGCTTGTTCTTATCTATGGTGAAGTCTCAAGGAAAGAAACAGCCACATTTTACATTGCTAACTGCTTTTTACAGAAGGACCTCCATTCTTACCAGAGTCATTTGATCGGATTCTTCTTGATGCTCCATGTAGTGGGATGGGACAGAGACCAAACATGGCTTATTCCTCGACTTTAAAGGAAGTGACCTCTTATCAGCCACTACAGCGGAAGCTTTTCACTGTGGTATGCATTAATCATTGAGTAGAGAAGCTAAATTGAAGATAAATGCTGTTGCAGCATAAAACTTCATACCAAAAAATGGTGGCTCATTTTCCCTACCTTTTCAGCACTTAAGTAAAGAAGATAGTGCTAAGATTCAGTTCACCTCTCAGCTCCACCATCTGTTGCTAGGTGAGGTCAATTCATTGGAGCACAGGAGAGGTATATGTAAGCCATAGTAAATAAAAACCTTTGTATGTGGTTTTTTATTCCTTCAGTTTCATCAGTTTTAATTTATAACAATCACAAAAGTGTAAGTCATAGAGCAACTTAAAGTCTTTTCTCTGCAGCAGCACAGACTCTTGTAAGTTCACTGCATAGAACTCCCATGCAGTGGTGCTGTTAGGTACTGTGTGGGATATGAGGTGGAGTACAAAGCCAGGAGGCCATATTGCAACTTTTCATGCGAGTAGGAGTGTGCTTGGGGTGATGTTCAAAGGTAAGATTTCATGATACTTGTCTAAATCTGAATTATCTGTATTCAGAGCGAACCACAGCTTGAAAAGCAGCATAGATATAGCTTCCGTGCCAAATATGTGGAAACAGTTGACATCTAATATCACTGATAAAAATATTGTGCATCCATGGTTGGCAGCAGGTGATGAAAACAGAACTAATCTGTCTGGGATATGCAGAGCTATACAAATAACGAATCTTACAAGGTGAATCATCGCAGTGGCATTAATAAACTGCACGAGCTATAATGCTGATTTGGAAAGAAAAATCTTTCTAATCCATGGAATTATTTGCTGTATTCCTTGAGAAGAATTAGTATCCTAATGCCTGTCTTAGACAGAAAGATTTGACTTTATTAAGTGGTAAGTTTTAATATTGTAGCTTAATGGTTTCTAGGTTAATGTTGCTTAATATGCAAGTTTTTGCATATGAAAATAAGCTGAACTATTGTTTATTTCTCCCTGCAGGCAGTGAAATTGCTGAAGTTAGGAGGTATTTTGGTATACAGTACATGTACAATTACACTCTCTGAAAATGAGGAACAAGTTGCTTGGGCTCTGAAATCTTTTCCATGCCTCCAGCTTCAGCCACAGGTAATAGTATTTTCAAGGTACTTCACACAATCCGGTTTTGGCACTGTAAAGTTACACACTATATTTACTATCAATAAATCTCTTTTCCACTGCTGACAGTTTTAACTGCTGTGGATAGAAATAACACAAGGATTTCTGAGGCTCTTTTAAATCTATTTTCGTGTTTAATTGAGCTTCATTTAGGGATCGTTAAGTAGTTTCCCACTGTGTACTGTGTTTGTTTTGATTTGTACAACAGTCACTTAAAACACAGCAGGGACAAAAGATAGTTCAGACAGGTTGAAATGTCTCTTGCAATTGTTCTTTAATGCATATATTTTATTATCTTTTTTTGCACATTCACAGGAGAGGTGAAAAATTTTTTATTAATGCCACTGAAGTAGTGAAGAGTTGCATAAGGGATGGGAGATAAATGGAAAGAACCTTGTGTTTTGAGGAAGGAGGCTTTTATATACAGGAGCTATTTTTGTGTTATGTAAAGGAATGAGGGAACAAATTTATTTCAGGCTCAGTGTCCCAAGAATGTACTTTGTCTTTTTTGGAGTCAGTGTCTACCATTAAGATGTCTGGGAGGAGATAATATATAGGGAGATTCTAGAATTTTTTATCTATACTGCATACATTTAAATAATGTTGCCTTTATTAGTACATTGAAAGAGTTTATCATCAGACCCTATGCGTCTCTCTTCCTCTTTATTGGTGTGATGAGTTGGATGTGTTAGTTGTTTATCATCATGGCTTTGAGGAAAAGTCTAACTCTGATACCTGTTTAGCTTACTTACACATTCTGTGATGACTTGTATCTGTCTTAAGAAGTTTAGATGCATCTTTTAACTGAAATTAAAAGACCATATATAATAGGTGTACAATGAGAAATTATATGAAAGCTGGTAAAGATTTAACAGAACTGAAGCTTTTCTTTGTATGTCAGGGTTCTTCTGCCTGCTTTCTCACCATCCATTTACTAGGAATTTTTCAGTTCCAGCTGTTTCAACTGAGGTTTTCTATGCTGTTAGGTAAAATGTATATTGTCCTTGATAGAATGACAAGGCTACACACGAGCCCTATTAATGCAAATGCAAGATTACTTCTGGTTTCATAGACTTTCTCTCACCAGTAATATCAGTCTTGAATAAAGCACTAGTCTTCACACACAAATGCCATATCTATAAAAATAAAGCTTCGGTGTATAGTATATTTTAAATGAGATGAGGCTGAATTATTTACCCACAGATGATTTATAGTATCTTATAACCAGTTCCCCAGTAGTGTAAACTAAGATGATCTTTTCCAATTAACAGGAAACAGGTCTAGGGTTGACTTACCTCATGTTCCTTTATGTATTTTCCATATTCTTTAGTCTCAGTGGACACCTTATACACTCAGTCCACTGTCTCCCACTTTCTCAGTTTGGCAAAAGATCCTGAAATCGTGCTGGGTAAGGGCAGAACAGGAGATGGAGCCATAGGTGTTGATCTCGTAGGTGGAGGTTAGGGCATGGCAGCTGATCCTTTGTCTATGCAGGCTTATTTCCTCTTAGGTTTACACAGGAGATACTGTGTATCAGCTTAAATGCAGTAACTTAACTGGAAGGAAAAAGGAAAAGGTAGAGGAGAAAATTGGTCTGTCTCTGAGCAAGTCGCTTGACCCTGTGTAACACTGTTTTCTGTAGACTTTTAGCTTTTCATCCCTCTATTGCATTACTTAAGTCATTACCCGTGTCTCCCTTTGTATGTTATTTTTTCTCAATTTGCAATGGACACCTCTTTTTGTCTCTTACCTGGAAAGCACTGAAATCCTGCTAAGGGAAAGGAAGAGAAGAATCGGGCTACAACCTCTTGGCTGCCCAGCTTTACAGCATGCAGTACGTGGTTAAGCAACTAACTCGCATCCTGTACTGACTGGGTGAGCTCATGTGTTAGCAAAATGTGATGGCTCAAAAATACTCTGCTGTAGGCTGCATTACAGACTACACTAGACTAGATCTACAAAGGAGATCCGGTTTTGATATTGCAATGCCAGCTTTTGTGCATTTTGTTCTGTCTTCTTACTGAATGCATTGAAGGTACAATCCAGCTAAGAATTAGATTTTTTTTTTTTTCCAGGAATCAGTGTATAAAATAAAAAGCAGTCAAGGCTACTCACAAGAAATGCTGAGAAAAGGGGTGCGATTTTAAGCCCTTCTCCTTTCCAAGGATTTTGATGCCAAATGTCATCTCCTGAATTCAGATACCTAAGCTGTTTCTTTCTTTCTCTCTCTGCCTCATATACATACACATGTAACAGTAGTCCCATTTACCTGTTAGTCTAATTACATGACACAGAAAATCTGAAGCTCAGATGTTTCTGCTGCATCATCTTCCAAAACGATACCTTTTCAGGCAGTAAAGTGTTCTGGATTGGGGCTTTCAGTCTCTGCAGTTGAAGTTTTTAATGTGAAGAATCCAGGTGTTTCTACTACTGTTACTGAGTATATTAGTAACTGGCTAAAGAATCACTATTTTTAACTTAACTCATAGCTGTTAGTCGGTACACAGAAGTGCTGCATCATTTAAAAGTAGCACCCTAAAACCTTTAGACCTTCTTATTGTCTGGTAATAACAGCTTTCTTGTGATGTTTCAGTCCTTTGAGTAATGATTTTATTTAGACCTGTGTACCTGTCCTCAGCAAGTGCTCTGAACTACTGGGCTAAAGTGGATTAGGTGCACCACCTCCCCAGAGTACTTTGGACCTTGTATATATGTTTGTATACGTATTGGCCAGGTGAAGGCAAGAAAAGAAGGGCCACATTACTTCTAAATCCTCCGCTAGTGTGAATGGTATAAACCTAGCTTGTCCGCATTAACAGTTAGGCAGCTCTGCATATACTCAGCAGAATACGTTTAGGGCACTTAAGAACTTTACTGATGCAATAACTTGCTTTTCTTTGTCACTTAAAAAGGAACCTCACATTGGAGGAGAAGGCATGAGGGGAGCTGGACTGTCGCTTGATCAGTTGAAGCTGCTGCAGAGATTTGATCCTTCTGCTGTGACATTGCAAGGAATGGATATTAATTCTTTGCAAGATTCCAGGGAAGATGATCTGATTTCACTGGCAAATAAGGACTGTATAGGATTTTTCATTGCAAAATTTATTAAATCGACCAGTAAGTAAGCATTTAGGAATGCAACCTGAAAAAATACCTCTGTGAATCTAAGAACAGTCGAGATGTGAAGTGTGTTTCTTACTGCTGCGATGTTGCCAAGCCAACGGGGTGACGGCATGGTTTCTATGGCAGCAATAAAATCTGCCAGCTGTTCTGCTGGGGAAGAGCCACAGGTTGCAGAAAGAAAGTCATGGTTGGGGGAAGGGTAGTATCATTTCTGAGTCTCCATTTGCTTTTGTATTTACAACAGGTCAGTGCACGAACAACAGGCATGTTCACTGGCTGGCTGTTCTATCTTTCCCCATGCGAGTCGCTTATCTAGTGCAGCAAGCGCAGGAACAGGGTTTCTCTGGGAGGGGAAGCAAGCTACTTTATGAAATGCAAAGATAAAGAAAATAGGTAGGACCTATTACCGTGAATTTTGGGGAAGGTCGTTTCTATGGATGCTCACCACCACTTAATGCTTCATTAAATAGTGCTTCACAAAACACTGTAACATTTTACAAAGAAGTGTTTTATAAATTGATACTTAGAACCTCATTTCTCTTTTATTTTAATACAAGCAAGATTCTCTGTACACATAGTATATACACAAAATACGATTAGGCTTTTTAGCATGTCTTTTATAGCAGCATGAATATATTAAACCATCTCACTCTGGGAATGTAAATAAATATTGTTTCAACATCAAACTTCCCATGCATAAACTGTATTGGTTCTGAAAGAGCCTATTGGACTGGCTGACAAGTGACAATTTAAAAATCAAACATTTGCAACAGAAGGGGCTACAGTTGTGATTAATATATCAAAAAACAGAAAACAATGCATAATACCATCTGAAATGTTGCAAATCACCTTTCAAACAACTAAGAATATTAACTCTTTATTGGTTAGAAAGCATCACCAGCTAAAATCATATGAAAGTTGAAACTGGGGAAGCATGCTAATGAGAACTGCCTTACTGCACTGCTCAGAGTTTTAATAATCTAAATTTCTTAAAGGTGTTAGATGTCTTTGTAAAGTCTGCTTCAGTTCCAGAGATGTTCTCCCTTTGAATGATATTCTCTGTTCTCAGTACTGCTGGAACTGACAATAGCACTAAAATTAGAGGGAAAGGTAAATACAATTCAAAAATGTAAACTGACATGTATGTGTGTTTGGGGTTTTCTTTTTCTCTCACTCATCAATTTCCAGTTTTTTAAAAGCATTATCTGAAAAATGTCTGTCTTTTCACACATCACTATTTGGTTGGATTAAAAAGAGAGATACTTTTTTTATAATTTGTCTTTATACTGTCAGAAGTGCTTTTGCATTTGCTCACAAGCAAAACAACTTATACAATTCTGTTTCTCAGTAGTCTGGTTGTTTGCTTATATTTGTTATAGAGGTTTTGATACCGTATGTTTTGTACTGTCCTTAAATAAAACAAATATCCCTGCTTCTGTTCTGCCAGGATTGACTGGTACATCCTCTGTAAGGCCCATCGTAGCCGGATAGGAGGATGGAATTCTTGTCTACTACTTCTCTACTTTTGTTGGTCACTCCTTGCCATTAACCATGACACGTCTAAACAAGATTTAAAGTCGTTTTGTTTCCTCAGTAGTAGGCAAGATATCCTATTTAGAATCATAAAAGCTCATTCTATAAATTACTGTCCTTTTACTCTAAATATGGCTAAAATAATTACTTGGTAACAAAAGGGATTAGTCTTTTATTGTAAGTACATGTTGAAATCTTTAACTCAGTGCTAGTAAAAAAGCGTTTTATTTTTGCAGAGTATATAAATTCTGTAAACATTAATCAGCACACAGACTATATACTGAAATTTGTGTACGCATATAAAGTACGGAACTTTGCCTCCAGTTTCAGTAGCAGGATTTGTGCAATGATGAATTTGAAAGAATTAAGGTTGCTGAATTTTTAGTGGAAGATTTGCTGAGACTTTCCCAGATGTCTTTGGTTTTGATAACGAGGCTTTTCAAGAAGGTCATCTCGCTTGGTTTTATATGTGAAATTTCTTTGTGGGGGGGGAAGAAAACCTGACTTGTATTTGATTCCAGTGTAACTAACTAACTGCAGACCAGACTTCACCCGAAAAAAGTTACTGATATCTGAACTTTAACTACTGCTATCTGAACTTTAACTACTAGAGCTGTTTCTGCAAAAGTCAACTGCTAGACTTAAAAGAACACTTAGGATATTAAAGGGATAAACCTCAGCTCTTTCCCCTAGGTCCCTCTCTCTGTTGGTAACTGGGGAGCAGGAGAGGGGAGAAACTTCTTCATCAGGCAGTTCAGAACAGAAACTGAATTAAGGTGCTCCAAACCGTCCCTTGAAGGAGCCAGCATCCTGCCTTTGACTACAGGCTTGGCTAAATTAGATGCCTATTTTGGATGGATGCCCTTCTTTTCTTTTCCCTTCCAAGCTTACTGTGACTTTAAGTGCAGGAATACTTTCTCACTGTCACAATTTTGATGTATTGTATATATATTTTTTTAATATATAATAGGATTACTTTCCTGATAAGACTGCTTTACACACTGAATCATTATGCTTCAGTGTTTGGTGCTGAAGCACAGCTGAATATATATATATATATTTATATATATACTATATGAGATATATATTAAATTAAAAAAAGTTATTGTCATTGGAATGAAAGATTAACCCTACAAAATAGATAGACTAGACATGCAATCAGATCCTGTCTTTAAGAAAGTCTGAAAAGTAGTTTTCTCTGTTTGCAGAAATAGTGATTAGCAATAGTGCCAAATCTAAATATTTACCTTGGTCAGTATAAAGATATTAAAATAGGCAGCCTATATATTAAATTAAAAAAAGTTATTGTCATTGGAATGAAAGATTAACCCTACAAAATAGATAGACTAGACATGCAATCAGATCCTGTCTTTAAGAAAGTCTGAAAAGTAGTTTTCTCTGTTTGCAGAAATAGTGATTAGCAATAGTGCCAAATCTAAATATTTACCTTGGTCAGTATAAAGATATTAAAATAGGCAGCCTAGTATAGTATGAAATTATTATACAGCTTTTTCCTGTTCCAGTGTCATGGAGTCCACCAGGTTTTAGATTTCATACGCTTTTTAAGGAAAAGGGAATATTTTAGTAAGAAATAGGCTGGTGATGGTGATCAATGAGAAATTACTTTGGAATGGGTCGTTTAAAGCATAAAGGGCCTTCTTTTTACGTTTAATTGTTCATGACTAAAAAATTTATGAGAAAATCCAATTTCATACTGCTAGAATTCATTGTGGAGTAGGTAAGCATGATAGATAGAAGTGGTAAGAATGAAGTAAGAAAAGAGAACACGGATGAGTTAGAAGAATCAGCTTAATCTCTATTATATCTGATATAAATCTTTTTTGGGGCTGCGTAGGAACACATCTCTAGGGCGGTAAGTTATAAAAAGAAACTGTCTATAAAGCTACTGTAAGCTCATATGTAACAGTTTGTTATATAAAAGTGGGGAAATAAATTATAGACAAATTGCCAAGCAATAAATTCGACTGAATAACATTTGATTAAAAACATTCACAATAAAAATGGCATCCATATATTTTACAGATGATAGAAGAACTAAAATTTTGGTGAAAGAGTAATAAATATAAGTAAATGTACACCAGAAATGTTATATTACACTCTGAAAAATATTTTCTCTGTTCTTCCTATAGACTATGTAATAAACTTTTTTGCAATGTGCTTTACTTTCATGGACGGAATAGAATTGAGGTCAAAAGCATTTGAGAAATAGCTTTCAGCCTGGTGTGTTAAAGCAATCAGAGGACAAATGTAACCACAACCCAAAATAAATTCTGAAGAGGCTTTAGTAACTAACACAGGAGGTGGCTTACACTAACCTCTTTGCTTTGGACAGACACCGATTAAAAGCAATCAATCAGACCGCTCACTGCATTCCAGCTCAGGGAATGGGCATGGACCAGATGAAAACCTCTACAGGTGTCACAGAACGTGAATAGGACTTTACAAAACAAAAGAGCTTAAAAATGATAATCACAAACAAATTCATGAAAGGCAGTAAGTATTAAGGGGCAGGGTATTGGATCTGGGCAGGAACTGCCTGTAACCAGATAGGCAGGGAGAAGTGAAAATAGGGCTCCTTTTATTCAGGGTTTGATGAGTGGAATTTCATTTCCTTATCTTCCATTTATAATAAGGGCTACAGGTTCAGAGTTTACAGCTTTCTGTAAACACAGGCACTCCACCCAAACTCATTGTGGCTTTAGAACTGGTCTGCATTAAGTCGGGCCAAATCCTTAGGAGAAACTAGCTCTTTAATTTTATACCTTGAGAAGCAAAAACTGCGGAACTTTTCCCAAATTCTGAACTCCTGATGCCAGACACAGAATATGAATTCATGAGTAATCTAGAAGAACTTTTTAATTTCTAGGCAGTAACTTATGGATCGATTTAAAAATAGTTTCTTCCACCTCTTAACTCCTACTGATGCTGCCTTTGTGCACAAACCTGTTTGCTTATTCATCCCCACTGTCCTGTCCCTTAACAGGTCTTGAAACTGTTACTCTCACCTTCCCTCCTTGAGAATCCTTTCTTCCACGATGTCTGTGTGACACTAAACAACTGATAAAGGACAGATTGGGCTGCTGAACGGCACTGATGCGTATCCATTTGAAAAGACATACAAAAATAAGGTTAACATCTAACATATATACACGTGAACGTTAAAATGCATCCCTTTCCTTCCATATACTGAAATTCTTTAGAAAAATATAGAGTGAGAGCTGACAAGACCTATGCATCACTTTATTTTAGCTTCCTCCTTTTCCTTCTGTCTCACTGGTTTTATTATCTTTTTAGCTCATTTGAATAGAAATTTTACAGGTTGTTTTGTACCACACACGCACACGCACTCTGGAGCTCACTGGGGCCTCTACCGTTCCTCAGATTCAAAGCTCCTGAAACCAGGTACAGAAACACGAACTCAGTATCCTAATGCAAGCAATAATATTGAACTTTCTATTGGCAAAACTTTGCAGAGCCATTTCATCACAATAACCTCTGATATGTCCTCCAGCTGGAGTATTTTTAAAGCTTCTCCTTGAAATAATTCTGCTAAAGTGCTTTTCAAAGTAGTGCTCAGCAGGCAGGTGGGATTGTGCAATATGTGTAGTTCAAGCTTACGTTACAAACGATTCGTCACTCTTAGAAGAAGAACCGAAGGAAAGTATCTATCTATCTTAGCAAGGCTAACAAAAACCTTCTGAGCGAGTCTGCCTGAGAAATGCATGTGTTAGTATGGTGTCTGTACGTAAGTAGCAGCACTACACAAAACACAGTTCTCTCATTAGTTGGATTGGGACATGCCTTTTTTGGTGATATTTATATTCTGTAAACCAATATATAGGCCATACTTAAATACTAGGGCTTGGACTATGCTCTTTATTTTCTCATTTATTTGCTCATACCTGGCCACCTACTCCATGGTTTTCATATACTACTCAGTGCTTTGGAATTCTGCCAAACATTCCTTAAAAAATACTTTTAAGAAAGGTGGAAAATAAACACATTAGAGAGCAAAAGTTAAAAAAAACAAACAAACAAACAAAATAACTCAAGGTATTGAGCCATCCATCACTTCTTGGAGGACACAGCTGTCATATAACAGTTGCAGGGAGCAACAGCATTGACTGAAACTGGTAAAATAGCTAAAGCCAGGCTATATGGAGCAAGACAACTTCTCTTCCCACCTACATGTGAGCTGACACAATTCAAACAACAAAGTCTTTCAATGCCGTTTTCCACTGATACCCTGAAAATCCTCTCTCATCAAAAGCCACTTTTTATATACTCTTATATATCCATTTAGTCATACAACAGATCTACTTACCTACACTTCCTGTCTACAAAGTCATTCAGTGACGTTTAGAAAAACGCTGAGAATTTTATTTCTAGAAAAATACCCTTTTCCTTGTGTTCCCCACAGTTCACACTTTGAGCCAAATGCTACCCTTGAATAACCACAACAGCCAGCAGCACTGGGGGGAACGGCCAGATATCTGACAGCAGAATTTCATACTCTTACGTCGTTGTAAAAATCTCATCTAGAGCATCGGAGAGAGGGGCGGAAGAGGGAGAGGGAGGAGAGAGTATGTTTAAGGGAGTTAAACTGAATTGCTTGGATGCTGGGACAGGAGATTGAAGAAAATATGCACCTGCCATACACCTTACCCATTTCACTAAAATGATACTCAAAATCAGGCAATGCTGATATTCCCAGAATTAAAATAATAAATAAAAAGAACTTCCAGCTAAATTAATTATTATCCCACTACAGTCTTTATATAATGTGCTATTTACAGTGAAATACAAAAAGTATTTCATTCATACAATTACTACAAAGACTATATGTGATGCAGAACAGCTTTTACACTAGGCAAGGGTACGGAACCTGTAGTCAAAAATAACAGTGAATTTCCCCCCACTTACCAGTGCAACAGGTGTTCAATGCAAAACAAACCGTGTTCACTCCCTTGGATTTCAATGCATTTTCTCTAGCAAGCTCATAGAAAGAGTATTTTGTCACAGCCATTTTTCTAAGCTCTCACCAGCAGCACAACAGTTTAGGTGAAGGGAAAGCAGTGAGCTGGCTGCAAAGTGGGAATGCAGAGGAATTGGCAAGTGTAGAAAAAGTGGAGAAGCTACAAAAATTTATTTTCCAACAAAATAACTCTCCACAAGCTGTGTAAACTTTTCTTCCTGAAACAAATACTCTAAACCACAAAGATTTTACATTTCCAGTGAAACACTCACAGTAACATTTGCCTGGTTTTACTCTCCTGAAGTCTCAGCAAAGAGCCAGCAGATTTATGCTTTCTCAATTACCTGGGACAGTAAACTCCCTCATATTCCCTGACTGCGATTTAGATTTAGAAATTAATAAACGGAATGAAGAAACAGGCTTGTTGGCCTTTTGGGTAACCTTTGTTTTCTTCAGTAGATTCCCACACTTTGCTGCCTCCCGCGCACACGCACGCCCATCCACCACCCACCCACTCACATACACACCTCTGCCATGTGTGCTCCATTATTCTGACAACAGAACAAAAATTAAACTGTGTCCATTGCAATTTTGTGACCTGTACAGAGAAGAATAATTTATAGTGGTAAGTTCATTATCTTTACCCTAAATTTAAAATGCAAAATTGGGTTTGCAAGGACAGCATTAAGGTATAAGAGTTAGACCCTTTATCTCAAGCACTCATTCGTATTTACAATAAGTATAAGCTTTCTGCTACAGAAGAAAAAGTATTTAGATTGAACACTGTTACAGATTTCCTAAATGAGGCTAGTTCCAGTTGCCAGTAATTTAAAAGCAAATCTGCTGACTTGGCATTAGGACTCTAAAACAGTGTGATCAAACTTATGTAGTAAGAAGGTGTCTGCAGAAATAACATTTATAAACTGTATATACAGTACACAGTACCAGTACATAGAAAATAGATTTTGACTTCATGATCCCCTGTGTGTAAGGCAAGACTGAATTCTGTCTTCAATGGAGACCACCAGAGGTACAAGCAACAGATAGTGGCTCTTAAATCAATATGCAAATCAAGTGCATACAAATTAAAAATCAGAGCAGACAAAAAGTTTTAGATTTTTTTATGTGCTGATTCTGGCTTGCTGAATACACGGGAAGTTATTAAACATCAAATGTACCTTTTTTTTAAAAAACACTAACAACACCTTGATGGCAACAGATATTGTTCAAGTGGCAGCTACCAAAAAACAGCTTGAAAAATGGCATAGTACAACACGAGGAACTCTGCAGTTGTACTACGCTAATTCATATAGCACTAACCAAAAAAATAAGTATATGAATATTCTATTTCATGCTATTGCTATGCAAGCAACAGCAATACAAATCAGCATACAGAAGGATACCATATGTTCTGCAATGAAGAACCCAAAGATATTTTCAAGGGGCATTGTTACAAGACTTCAAAGAAACACAAGACTGCCAGAGGCAAAAGTTACTGACGGATGTAAACATCCCTGTTCCATTCTCCTGCGTCGTTACGTTTTTTCGATATCACTTCCCCATCCTTGTCACAATATTGGTCCCTTGATTTATGACGACTACGCTGTTTGTTGCATTCATTGTGGTCCTGCTCCCGGTCCCTCTCCTTTGAGCGATGCCTTGATTCTCTATGTCTGTGATCACTGCTCCCGTGGGACTCGTCTCTGTGATTGTGATCCCTGTGAGAATCATAGTGGTCACCGTGCTCATGTGAGTAGTCCTCCTTTGGCTCTACGTAAGCCGAATCTCTGCTGTCTTGTGTTTCCGAGTCAAAAGTTTCTTGCCTAGAAAGGCCTCTAACACCACTGCGATGGTTGTGGTGTTGGCTGGAGGAAGAGCGATGCTGGGACTTCTTGATGGGTTCAACCCGTGCTTCCTCTTCGATTTGTGAACCGCTGCGTTCAGGGACTGAATGGTCATTCCTCTGGTTTCCTTGAGTTCCCTGCTATCACAACCAGCAGTAAGTTCATGTACATGAAGTACACATTTAAAAACTTTCCCCAATATCAAATTCAACTAGAAAGTATCATGAAACCAATAAAATTTAAGTACACAACAATCCACATTGCATCTAAACTAGAAAAAAAACCCATTAGAATTCAACTTTTACTGCAAATTCAGTATTATAATACAAACAATTCCTTTCAATTCCATCGGAATGGGGGGTGGCACTGGGGTTACTCGGTTACACTTTCTCATCTCCTGTGATGTTTCTGACTATTCCAGTTAGCAGTAATTGCCTACCGCACTCCAGTCAAAAAGGGAGCATACAGAAACAGGACAAACTGCAGTAAAATTAAAAAGGACATATCATGCCAGGAGAGGGCAGGTATCAGTTGGGAGTTTACAGATACCTGCTTGGAAACAGCCACTATGGGAAAGTGATTTTAGAGGGCTGAGGAGGTGGATTCCAGCAGAGAACCAAAGCACAAAACCTTGGCTCTTCTAGAGTAGCGTGTTTTTTCAAGAAAAAAATGCAGTTGAACCTGGTATGAATAAAGTTTGTATTATGATACTAATAGTATCACTGACCTTCTGTATTTCTCAGCAATAATCCCATTTCTTCATGGTAATGAAAAATTAAACTTTGACTCATAATTTTAAGAGCTCAAGAATAAAGACCATTGCCAAGAAAAGCAGGGAGAGAGTGATATTATCACCTACAGAATTTCCTAACACACCACTACTATTCAAAGACCGAAATAAAAATTACCAGGTAATAACAAACCTACTCTTCATCAGCATAATGCTTTGAAATCACTGCAAAACGAACAAGTGGCATTATTTAACTCGTTTGGGGGTTTCATTACATTAACCTGCTTTTATTCCCAAACCACAGCCAAAGACTTTTCAAGCTTAATTGCAAAATTTTAAGAAATAGTTTATGGTGAAATTGACTTATTCTTCTCATGCGAGGTGAAGAACATCAAGACAAAATCAACTCTACTGGCAAAAAAATTCAAGCAGTTTTTAATAGAGTTATACAGGCATTTGTTTGTGAGACTGTTGTGAATTTACCAAAGTTGGTCTAAAGTTTGCCCTCTGTTCAGAGTTGCCTAAAAATAAGGATTGCCTCCAGGGCAGCTCATGGACGTATCTTCTTTCTGTCTTTCTATTTTGTGGAAAAGAGCTAGGGGAAGGAGGAAATTCTGTCCTTCAGCCACAGATCTTGGCAGGTGGGTTTCCTAGCAACCCAAAAAGTGAAATGACAGGAAATCGGACAGGAAAAAAATCTGTATTTTATCAGAAACTTATAAAAAGCAACATATTTACAATCAGCAATTTGATAAATCTGACAAATCTTCATTTTCCAAGACAACATTTTGTTCTGTAAACTTCCCAGCGACTAGCTGGGTTGCTCCATGTGTTCCTAATTTGAAACAAATGGTATAGATGAGAACAAGGTATCAGAAAGAGTGGTCAAATTTCTTTTTTGTTCTCATTTTTATGAGTCTCAGGATGATTCTGATTTGCCAGAAAAGGAATGTAGTAATTGTAAACATGAATAGATGTGTTCAAGGTGAACAGAAATGACTCAACAGAGGTGAATTATAAATGAAATCAAGTGGAAAGCTAAAGAGTCTAAAGTAATGCCTTTTTACTAGTTCACAACCATGACTGGTTTTAAGGCACATAAACTGGGTACACACGTGAAGCCTTGTAGTTCTCATATGGTCAAATGCCAAATATGTATGTACCTATATATATAAGCGTGACTAATAAAATCTGTCATTGCTGTGGTTTGAGAACAAATGCAAAATTTGAACCTGCTTTGAACAGAATGCTACTTTTACTAACTCAGATGCATCTTCTCTGCTACTACAAGTCTGTGTGAAGGAGCACAATGAATAAATTTAGAACCAATACCTGCAATTTCAGAATAGTGTCAGGGCTATTTGGATTTTTGGGCAAATTTCATTGACAGTAACTTTCCCTAAATATTACAGGTACAGTAAGCAGGTAATGTTTGAATCTGGATTAGGGCCTGGCTTTGTGATTCATAACCAAATTAGGGCTCTGATTTGGATTAGATTCCACACTGCAGGAATTTTATGGCCCGATCTCATAAGGTTTTTTTCCTAAAATGGAGAAAGTTTGAGATAAGCCCATTTCATTACTCAGGTTGTAATTTCAAAGAAGTCAGGGTTCTTGGAAAGAAGTTTAAGCAGTGTTGAAAGAGGAGAGAAGAGTCTGGGTCCACCGACTCAGTTTGTCTTGCTCCCTATTTCCACCAAGTGGTCCCTAATCACCTACACCATATGTGTGTGAGGTTGCTCCAGTCTTCTTTTTGGAATTGAACAACTATTTCCCT